CTCGGCTATTAATCTATTTATTCAAAGGGATGCTTTCTTTATAGTTTGTCCGCCGTGTTTGCTTACCGCTTCGCTCGGCGACGCGGAATGTATAGAACTGCGTAGTGGGCCCACTAACATATACGCAACAACTATATACGCAACAAGTAAGTTGTTTAGGTGTAGAAGTTAGGTTAGCTTATAATTATAATTTTATGTTCCCATATTGGATCCACAATTCTGAATTTCAAAATTGTAATATTATATCCTACACCAGCGACCTCAAAAATACCGACCTCCGAATACGACCTTCCGAATACCGAATTTCATCCAAGTCACTTTTCGCATTTTGGTTCGCTATATTGAATCCGCCATTTTTAATTTGGAAACTTTGACATCAGAAATAGAATCAGCGATGCCACAACCTTATATAAAAGTATCGGTGTTAGATATTTCCATATATTTCGCAAGATATTAATTTTTGCCACTTTTTGGGATTCTATCCCACTGTACATACACACGCGTACCGCGTGGTAATCAACGTTCCGGTGCAATTATTGATCTGCAGATAATCTAATATAAAATGATCTTCTTTGTGATCCACTTGCGGCATATGTGACAGGTGTTCAGTTGTTTGGCGCAGTGTTCACATGCGCAGTGCCCGCATAAAAAGGCGACGTTACGACGACGTTCTACGCAGATGTTGCACATATTTGCCTCTCTAAAATCCGCGATTGTAGTCATCAAATAACGTAACATCTGGAGCCTAAGTGACTCCTGATCGTTGTCCTCCTCCCTGTCACTGATCTTCCGTTTCCTCCCCGACGATACGTCCTTCGATTTATCCGGATTGGAGTCCTCGCCTGTCGCCAGCTGACCGTCTAGAAAAATGTGCGAAAATAATGTAAAACGTCCTCTTACAATTTCTACAGGATTTTTCACAGCTATAATTTGTTTAATTTGTTACGCAGAATATATCTCTGGTGCAACAAAACTCGCTAAAATTCCTTGCTTAGTTTAGATCATTTACAGAAGATCGATAAAATTACGTACCTTGAATCGTTTGCGTATTAACAGAATGGCTGCAACCAACGACTGTAATACTGCTGCTGGGATCATTTCGATTCTCCTGCTTTGTGTTCGCTATGATTGCCGAGGAATCCTGACTTAACGCGTCGTCAAAGCCGGCTATATTCTTATTCGCACCGCGCAATCCGTCTGTCTGTGACATATTATCTATCCGATGCTCTACGTAACCCGCAGTCAATGAATTCTCCTTTATTCTGCGAATTACATTTTACGTTTATTAATAAAATTTTTAATTGTCAGAATCATTTGAGTGATTCCGGAAGCGTTGCAAGATCAGTTTTCAAAACGTAAATCAATTCAACTTTATGTTTCAAGACCTTCAAGCGAATTTACATTTCGAAGTTTGGACTTGCGGAACATTTAAAACAATCATATCTTCGTCATCTTACTTTAATTGCGTGCTGCAACTTTGGCATTTGTAACATCCTAGAAAATAGGCAAGCACAGCGACTTGTTGCTTGTCTTCCAAAAGATCGAACGGTGTCTTGTTCTTGTTGTTTCTGACTTGCATAAGAAGTTTGCAGCTTCTGTCCGCGCTTATTAGGAAACAAGCTAATGCTAATTCAGTCTGTGCGCCTTGTCTTGCCAGGTTCTGCCAAATCTGCCCGAAAGAAGAAATTATTCTTTAAAAAGAAGTGATAAATTATGATTCTTTTCTTTTTCATACCCTTTTCATATTTTTAAACCTTAAGGGGTTACACCACCTTGACCGCCTAAAAATCATAGGTAACTTTGAGAATTTTTTTAAGGAAAACAATAAAAGTAATAAAAAATTCGTTTTAAGGCTTTAATAATACAAGTCTTTAGAAGTAAAGATCGGAAGAGCACA